CCCTTCTCACTCCCTTTCCCTCCCACCTCTCATCCCTGTTTAATGTATATCTTCTTCTCAAGCTCTTCGTCCCTACCCTGTCCTTGTTTACTCCCCTTATATCAAAGGAGTCATTTGGTATTTGTTTTTTAAAGATTGACTAGCTTCGCTTAGCATAATCTTAAAAGCTGAATCTTTAGGTCTAATTGGATCAGGATCACCCTGGGTGGGGCCAGTAAGCAGCACCTCCCCAGTGATTCAGAGACATGACCAGATGTGGAATCACTATGTTAGGCCAGTAGTTCCCAGATTCTGCTTCACAGAAGAATCATTTGGGGATCTCTGAACACTCTTGATGTCCAATTCACACCCTCATCATCAATAGTCATTACATCAGAATCTCTGGGGTGGGACCTAAGTATTTTAGACCTAAGTATTTCAGGTGTCTCTAGTGTGCAGTCTAGTTTAATGCAGAGTGCTCTAAGCCAGTACTCTGTAACTTTAGTGTGCATAAAAATCACACAAAGGTCTTACTTGACTAGGGTGGGGTCCCAGTATCCACATTTCTAACAAGTAATGCCAATGATACTGGGCCAGGGACCAGCCTTTGAGTAACAAAGTTCCAAGCTGGTAATTTTAAAAATATAGTCCCTGGACCACCAGCAGCAGCAGCACCTGCAGAATGGCTGGAAATGCAAGTTCCTGGCTGGGTGGGACCAGGCAACCTGCATTTTAACAAGGCCAGCAGGTGATGCTGAGACTCACTATTTGTGTTAAGCAGCTTTTCATGCTATGACCAAAATAATTAATAGAGGAGGGAAAGTTCATTTTGGCTCATGGCTCCAGAGACCCAGCTCATGGTGAGTGCTGCTTCATTCACAGCAGCCAGGAAGTAGAGAGAGGGAGAGGAAGGGGCTGAGGACAAGATGAACCTTTCCAGGGTACACTACCAGTGACCTACCTCTTCTAGCCACGTCCCACCTGTCTGAAGTTACCACCTAGTCAACCCACTTAAATTAGGATGGATCGATTTGGTTACTGCTCCCATAACCTAATCATTTCACCTCTGAATTTCCTGTATTAACATAGGAGCTTTCAGGGGACTCCTCATATCCAAACCATAATAGTGCTGCTCTAAGCCATTTCCTACTCCCCCCATCCCTCACCCTACTTCTTCCATCACTTTCTGGTTTGATTTGGCACAAAGGCTGGACTCAAATCCTGCCAGATGTACCATCGTCAAGTGCTGCTGTCTAATGTTGGCAAGAGATAACCTTGACCAAATGACTGTGATTCTCAACTTCTCTGTTCATTTTTATAAATGAGTTAAACTTTGGCTGGAAACAAAGTTAATAACCTGGAGACAACAGAAATGTTCTTCAGGAAGAAGAATCAAGTTTAGTCACCTCTTTCAAGAACTAGATTCCCATGATGGTACACTATTCTAGGGTTGGGTTGGATTCAGAGCTTACAAACTTCTAGATCTTGATGAAGAATAAGTGTTTTGTTTTCATAGAGAAACAAGGGTATAAGACTGTTAGTTAGTTGCAAGGATAATTGAAAGGGCAGATTATAATTTGCATCTGAAGGAAAAATGTCTCACGGAACTCATATCAAGGTCAGGATTTTAGAAGAAGGTCCACAGGTACATGCCATGGGGCACCAACCTCAGCAGAGTTGCTCAGTCTCTCTGTGCCATCTGGCAAAGTTTCAATGACTGCAGAGTAGGCCAGGCCTAGGGCTTGGGCTAAGCTGGTGTCCTCCAAGCTCGTGCTGGGAATTCCTATTCAGAGGGGGAGAAAAAGAACACCTTTTTTGTAAGCACCCAAATCACAAAATAATTGATGGCTTCAACACCTGGATTTAGCTTCTTAAAGGAGACGATCTCATTTAATTTAGAAGTCGTAAAATTGCATCAGATTCACTGGGAGAATGGAACACACTCTAATACCCTAATACGATCAGTTTACCATGTTAGTTTTATTTTCCTTTGCTTAGTTTCTTTTTAAAAAATAATGTACATCTTAAAATATACATTATTATTATTATTTTTTGGTCAATGAAACATGACATGAGCATTTAGGGAAACCTTTTCTTCAAATTCCCTCAGTGACAAAGGATACTGAGTTTTTTGTTGGTAAGTACAGCTGACTTCTTCAGCATTTCCTAGAACCCCACAAAAATCCACTCAGGAAGCTGAAAGCTGTGTTTTGTTCCTGAAGGCAATAGTACATTCTGAATGCATTTTTTCACCCACATACATCCTTGAGGAAACAAGTTGAGCATAAAGAATTCACTCAGCAGAGGGGCCCAAGGCCTGCTGCTTTGCTGAACAGGTTTTCCCAGTTATTGATTCTGCAGCATAGATTTGCTCAACCTCTGTACTGCTGGCATTATGGACTCTCTAATGTGGGGGCTGTTCTGTCCATTCTGGGATGGTGAGTAGCTTCCCTGGCTCTTACTAGTAGCACTGGTAGTTGGGACAGTCTACCAAAGAACCAAAGGTCTCCTGATGGCAGAGCCCCTGGTTGAGAACCCCTGCTATAGAGCTATCTGTTGAAACTGCTGCCATATTTGTGGATTCAATATTTTATGTTGAAAAGTGAGGATAATGAGCAGAAGGCTGAGTAAGATCTTGGAACACCTTCTCCAGAACATTGTCCTAGAAGGGTGATTTAATGATTGGGAGACAAGTTGGAAGGAATGATTTTTTTTCATGATTCTCCTTGGAATCATAGAAGGCTCTGTTATAGGATGCAAAATTCTGTGTTGTTCCAGATGGGATTATGACAGAAAGCACCTAAGAAAGTGAATAATGTTGGGTGACCTGAAGGGCTAAAATAAATGGTAAGCAATAAATATTATCAAAAAGTGTTCATGGGCCCGATGTGGTGGTGTATTTCTGTCATTCCAGCTACCTCGGAGGCTGAGGCAGGAGGATTGAAAATTTGAAACCAGCCTTGGCAACTTAGCAATATCCAGTTTTAAAACAAAAAAAAAAGGGCTGGGGATGTAGCTCACTGGCAGACAACCTCTGGGTTCAACCCCAATTTATTTATTTATAAATAAATTAAAGTATTCATGGTCAAGGAAGGAAACAAGTCATTTACTACATTCTAATGTGTACGAGTAGGAGTTAGAAGGATTGATGTTCGAAAGGAGACACTGTGGGGGATAGGAAGGGGATAGGAAGGGGAGCAGAATACAACAGACACTAGTATGACAGTATGTAAAAACGTGGATGTGTAACCGATGTGATTCTGCAATATGTATACGGGGTAAAAATGGGAGTTCATAATCCACTTGAATCAAATGTATGAAATATGATATGTCAAAAGCTTTGTAATGTTTTGAACAACTAATAATAAAAAAAGAGAAAAAACAAGAAAAAAAAAAAGGAAAGGAGACACTGTGACCACAAAACTTATTTGGCCATATAAAGAATGATCTGGGACCCGGTGTTGGTTCTATGAAATTCAGTAGAATGTGAATTGCTTGCAACAGTGCAGGTGAGATGGCAAAAATATCACTTATCTCTTATTTATTTTTGCTTCTGTCTTTCTTAGAGGGCAAGAAGCAATAATTTAGAAAATGATAATTACGTAACTGTGGGAAATCAGGACAATAGGAAAAACAATTTTCCATGCACATCTAAAAAAAAAAAATCTATTTTTTTTTCTTTAGAGCTCCCCACATTGTATCAAGTGATCTAACTCAAAATACCCAAAAAAACAAACAAGAAAATGCCAAATAGTCATATTCACAAGAGTTTCCTTTAATATTTGTCCTGGCTGGTCATATTATGAATTTTTAGATTATAAAATGCTTCAGGTAATGGAGGTATTTCCTTGACCAACGCACACTTTCTAGGCTCAAGTGGTCAGAAGAGGATGACCCGGATGGCTTAGTATTGCTTTTCTGGTTTGATGTCCCTTCAAACCACTTCATCAAAAACCCACCTGGGCATTATAGGGGGGAAATGTGATTTTAATAAGAAACACTATTTCTTCTGCTAGGAAAACAGAGGGAAATAACTGTCTCTGAAGGTTTTGGCATTTTGGAGACTGGCTGGAATCTACTGTGGAAGAGAGATGCGCAGCCTGCCCTAAAGAAAGATGATTTTGGACAGAGCTGTCTTTAGATTCCTGTCCTTTGCTCATTCCCAGACTTCCTGTTACATGGTGATAGTTTAGAACACTCACGAATGAGTAAGGCTGCCAAGGACATCCAATTTACAGTTCTAAATATGCCTCCAATTTTGCTGCTGTTTCACAATTCTTTCTTGAATAGCTCAAGTTCACCTCCTCCACAAAGCCTTCACCAAAAGCCCAGCCCACGTTGATCATGTGTGCTTGGAACCCCCATCTCATCACCTGCTGACGATTCTACCAGTTTTGAATTGGATTTCCATCTGAGTTGTATTGTTCTTTGCATCATATGCCTAAGTCTCACCAACTAACTCTTGATCCATGGGCCAGACATTTTTTATTATTTCAATAGCAACTGGCCAGTTGTGATATACTTATGTTTTTAAAATATAGTTTCTTACATAAGGAATGATTAAATGAAAAAGTAAGGGGCTTGGGATGTAGCTCATGGTAGAGCACACATATACATGTATATGCCTAGCATGCAAGAGGCCCTGGCTTCAGTTCTAGCACTGCCAAAAAAAAAGCAGGAAAAAAAAGAAAAAGTACTCATTTTATGAAGAGTCTTGGACTTGACAGCTCTTTCAAGTAACAGCAATAGGCAAGTACCTTGATCTTAAACCTGTGAAATATATTATTATGATGACATTTTAATAGCTGCTTACCTATTTTTGAATCCAGAGAGCCTTCAAAGTTAGCTCGGGCCGCAATCACGACAGGGACCTCCTGCTGGGTGAGCATGTTGACAGCTGTGATGGTAGTGAGGCAATCTGAAAATGAGAACACTGTGCGCTAGTCAACTGTGACACCAACCACCTGAATCTCAGAGGAGGCATGTGAGAGAAGCAAGCAAGAGCTCTTCTGTGCTTGGTACTAATTGTTAAAGAACGTGTCTTTTGAAGGGTATTCATAGATACTTCACATGAGTGGAAAACCAAAAGATTAAACAAGCTCATGAGAAATGTTCCTCCTGCTCCTAAGGAAAGCAGCGACAGCATCTGGTTTCCAGATGGTGGAGTAAAGACGTTCTCACTCCTGTCTTTTCCCTCTGAAAAACTACCTCCATCGTACAGAATAAACACAAAATCTATCTCTAATGAAAGCAGGAGACACCTGAAACCCCAGACAATAACACATGAAGATGGTCACGAATAAGGTAGAGAGAATGGCTGAGAAGAAAGGGGGAGAGGCTTCCAGAAATGCTAAGGCAAAATAGCTCCTTGCTAGTACTCTTTTCTTAGAAGACACGGGAGGATGAAGAAAAAGAGCAGACACAGGACCCAAGAAACAGAGACGTTCATAGCATGAAGACAGAGGGAAGGGCTTAGAAGGACAGATGTACAGCAGTGGCCTGGAGAGGGACCAGGTTAGGTCTAAACAGGACCCAGAGCCCTGGGACACATCTTCAGGAAGACAAGGGAATCAATAAGTTATACAGAAGGTTGTATTACACAGAAAACTGTATTGAGAGGAGTTCAAGTGGTGTCAGGAAGACTCAGCCAGAAATTCAAAAACCACAAAGCAAATGGGGGAAAAAAAAAGGGACATTATGAATATCAGGAAAAACAGAAAGAAGGAAAATGCAATCATAATATAGTTGGCTCAGTTGTGAATGATTTATGTGGTCTAATAGAACATTTAATTTAGATTTATTCAAACCTTGTATCATTTTAAATGAAGCTTATTACAACTCCCACAACAGGGAGACAAGCCATATAAGCTTACGTCTTTACTGACGATGTGTAGGTTTAGAAGCATAAAGACCTAAATAAAGTCCCAAAGGAAGAAGGGATGAGAAATGGTAAACAAATAATGGATGGGTTCAGCTGAGTTTATTTAACAACATAACCAATTAGCAGCAGTTATAATTGATGGATACTACGACTTTCACTTTTAAGACTTGATGTAGTTCAAAGATATAAACCTCCAAACTAAAATAAGCCAAAAACTAGGTGCAATCCCAGTGAGTTGGGAGGCTGAGGCAGGAGGATTGCAAGATTGAGACTAGCCTTGGCAACTTTACTCAGACCATGCTCAAAATGAAAAATAAAAAGGACTGGGGATGTAGCTCAGTGATAGTTTCTGGCTTTAATCCCCAGTATCCCACCGCAACCTCCCCACAAAAAAAAACAAAAAAACCCCAAAAACAACAACAACAACAACAACAACAAAAAAAAAAAACAAAAAACAAAAAACAAAAAAAACCACACCCCACCAGTCCAGGAATAAGGATTTATATTTGAAAGAGGTAAAGATAGATTCTGTAGGCATCAAGACCACTTTTAATTCTTTCGCTTTGCATGTCAGGAAGCATGGGATATAGTGGACATAGTGACATGTGACCTAAACCGGTTCCGAAGAGGAGGTCCCAGCAGTGATGGTAAAGATGAGATGGGGGTGAGGCACCTGCTGGTCAGTACTGACTCATTTCTCAAAGTGGAGACTCCTATTTCTGATTACCTGTCATCCCTTCTCAAAGATGAGATGTATATTGGCAACTTGTGCCATTATGATAAAATGTTATTAGGAAGCTGGGGGGTAAGAGTAAAAGTACCTAAGTAACACCTAGAATTGGTACAGGAGAAGTGTGTTATTCAGATATGGAGACCGATGCAGAGAAGAGTGTGGGACACAGTCTACCTGTATCTGCCCCCTCTTCTGGGTCAGCAATAGAATATATAGTTGGACTTGAGGCTGCACAGCAATGGCTGCAGTGGCCCACCTCTTTTGCAATGAGCTGTGGCCATTTGGGTATGTGCAGAAGTAACTTCTGGGTCATGCCGTCAAAGGAAAGGGCATGTCCTTCTTCTCATCAAGTTAGGTCCCTGCCTACTTCCTGGAAAGAGGAGGTGTAGAGCACCTTGGAAAACCCTTGAAGGGCAGAGAAGATGACAGAAAGAGCGCTGGGCTGATCACCTCACCCAGTGGACTTGTCAAACTCACTCCAGCTTCATGTGAGCAAGGAAGAAACTCCTGTTTCTCTAGGACTATGTCATAGTCGCAAACTTACATCCTGAGTAACATACACCTAAAATCATTAGAAGTGGCTGAGGAGTCAACTCATGAGGAGTTGACTATTATTGCTGTGGTTATAATTTATATACATATTACTTGGAATTTTGCGGGGTGGGGGTTTCTGGGGTTTGAACCCTGGGGTGCTTTACACTGAGTTATATCTCCAACCCTTTTTAAGACAGGGTCTTCCTAAGTTGTTGAGGCTGGTCTCAAACTTGCTATTTTCCTGCCTTAGTCTCCTGAGTCAATGAAATTATAGGCATGCACCACTGTGCCTGCTCAGTTTATATCACTTGGATTTTAAAAAACACTGTTTTTCTAAAAAAGAGATGAAAATTAAAGTAATTTTGAAATATTGTCATTTTATATCTGAGAAATGAGCAAAAACTTTTAAAAGGGTAACACCCATCTGTAAAGTTGAAGTTCCTATTTCTCTGGATTCAACATTACAAACTGATAAAGCCTTTTAGAAACCAATACATGCATGTGAAGAGAACTAGACAAATGTTCACAACTTTGGATAATAACAAAAAAATCCCATTCTTAAGGAAAATTCTAAAAAAGCAAAGAGCTATGAGGACACAAATGATCACATCAGCTATCTTATGATAGTCCCAGACATTAAAAAAGTCAAAGGTTTAATAGGGAAGATTTAGAATATTATGCTACATGGATTAACAGGTATTATATATGGATTAAAAAATAATTGTGAAGCCTACATAAAACCAAAGAAACAGTTTCTGATAGAATACTAAGTGAAGACCAGAAAATAAAGAGGGGGAAGCAGTCTGATTTCTAAGATATGTGTGGGAATATAAAAAGTAAGATGACTACACACAAAAGCGTTAAGCCGGACCCCAACCTCATGCCATTGGGATTAAAGACCTAATGTAAGATCAAAAATTACAATTCATCAGGCTGGGGATATAGCTGAGTTGGTATCGTGCTCACCTCGCAGGCACAACAAGGCCCTGGCTTCAATCCCCAGCACCACCAAAAATAAATAAATAATAAACAAACAAATAAATAAATAAAGTAAGTAAGTAAAACTACAATTCTTCAAAGAAAGCATACGTGTAAAATCATTTTTTAGCTTTAAAATCCAAAGCAAAAAAATCAATAAGAGAAAAAAATATATAAATTGGATTTCATTAAACTTTTGTGCTTCCAAGGGCACCATCAAGAAAATGAAATGACAACTCCATTACTGGAGAACATTTTTGAAAGTTACATATCTGATAAGGGACTATGTCTAGAATATGTAAAGAATTATTGAAAGGTGTCAAATCTGAAAAGACATTTCTTTAAAGAGGACATATAAATGGCCAATTAATAAATGAAAAGATTCCTGATGATACTAGCCATCAAGGAAATGCAAACCCAAACCACAATGAGACAGCACTTGACACCTACTAGGATGATCATAATCAAAAACACAGATGACAGCAAATGTTGGCAAGGTTATGGGGAACTGGAATGCTCACACACAGCTGGTGTTTGAAGCTGCTTTGGAAACAGTCTTGGAGTTCCTCAAATAGTTCCTAAATGACCCCGCAATTCCACTCCCAGGTATATACTCAAGGAAATAAAAATACATGTCCACACAAAAATCTGTATGACTGTTCACAGCAGTATTATTCATAAAGGTAAAAAAAGTGGAAATAACCCAAATGTCCATCAATTAATGGGTGATTAAATAAAATGAGGTATAGCCATATGCTGTAGTATCCATATTGGAAATAAGAAAAAGAATGAGCCTGGTGTGGTGGCACATGCCTGTAATCCCAGCAATTGGGGAGGCTGATGCAGGAGGATTGCAAATTTGAGACCAGCCTCAGTAACTTAGCGAGGCCCTAAGCAACTTAGTGATACCCTGTCTCAAAAAAAAAAAAAAAAAAAAAAAAAAAGGCTGGGGATGTGGCTCAGTGCTAAAGCACCCCCTGGGTTAAAATCCCCAGTGAACACCCGCCCACCAATAAAGAAAGAAAGAATAAAGCACATTCTACACATGGAAGAACCCTAAAAACATTATGATAAATGAAAAGAAGTCAGACATAGAGGAGAAATGTCATATGATTCCACTTACATGAAATGTCCCAAATAGGCAAATAAATGGAGACAGAAAGCCTAGGACTGAGATTAGGAAGGAATGAGGGTGTGTGACTGCTAAAAGGATATGGGATTTCTTCTGAGGATGATGAAAATGTTCTAAAATTGATTGTGGTGATGGTTGTACAACTCTGTGCCTATTCTAAAAACCACTGAATTATATCAACTGAATATTGAGTGGATGACTTGTATGTTTGTTAATTTTATTTAAATAAGCTTGTTATAAGGGAAATTTTATTTTATTTTATTTTTTTATTTTTTAGTTTTTGGTGGACACAACACCTTTATTTTATTTTTATGTGGTGCTGAGGATCGAACTCAGAGCCCCATGCATGCCAGGAGAGCGCGCTAACGCTTGAGCCACATCCCCAGCCCGGGAAATTTTTAATATGCTAAAAAACGTAGAGAATTGCATTAAAGGGTTGGATTTTTCCATTCCATATTAAAGTAGTTATGCCAGTTTTTCAATTAGGGGAAAAAATGAGTCTTTAAACCTAAATATTTAAATAGGTTTGCACTGAATGTACAACATCAACTTGCATTCTGTACCTGTCAAAATTTATTTCTTATAAAAGAAACTAAAATCTGAAATTCCTGACTAGGTCTTGTGTTCTCCACATTTCTCCTAAATCTTGTGCTGGTAACATGAAGCAGGAATTTAAGAGAGTCATGGAGAAACCCAAAGAACCATCTCACAGAGCAGTGAGAAAACAGTTGAATGTTTTAGAAATCACAAAGGAAACATTCCAGGCCCAGAGGTGCCCTCTGCTCTCAGGGTGCCCTCTGTGAAGAAGGCAGGTTTCTCCTGCCCTTGGGAGAAAACAGACACATGATTTTCATCTGGTGTTCACCAGAGCAGTGTTCATGCAACCACTTCTCAGGGATGCTCTGTGGCAATGGGGCTCTGTGGCTCAGTGAAGGTGACAAGCGTCACAGAAGACCTCCTCCCTTGGACATTCACAGTGCATAACAGCACATCAAAGGTTTCAAGTCAGGAGCAAAAAGACCTGAATATTTTGGTTTATTCCAGATTTCTGGAGCACAGAAGCTTTTCCCTCTATAGAACATCTATTAACATGTGCTGAAAGAATATGCCAGAAAAAGTGGATAAAAACCAAACCACTGGGGCTGGAGTTGTGACTCAGTGGTAGAACGCTTGCCTAGCAAGTGAGAGGCACAGGGTTTGATCCTTAGCATCACATATCAATAAATGAAATAAAGGTCCATTGACAACTAAAACAACAACAACAACAACAAAAACCCAAACAAAACTATTGCCCTGAGAATATGGATCTGTTTCTCATCCCTTTGTGCCACCCCCCAGGCTGAGATTATGGAGACAGGGCAAATGATAGTGAACAATAAATTATTTAATGTTCTAGGGGCTTCCTAGGGAGGTTCTTGCTCTCCAATATATTGATAACAGCAGGGTTCTGAGTTACCCTTTAGGGAGACCTCATTTACCCTTTGGAGGAAAACAAAACAAAACAAAAAGCACCATGTAGACAGTCTGTGAGTCAGAGCTGAAATGTGTGACTCCCAGAGCCCCAGGGTCTGGACAGAAATGATTACCGGAGAAGACAGAACAGCTTCTAGAGCTCTGATGACAATTCCCTATTGATGTTTTTTTCTGGTGACTACACAGTCAGAGTTGACATCTTAAGACTCAAGTCAGAGGTGGTCCACCAAGAAGGAGGCAATGTCAGTGACTGTAGAAATAAACTAAATTCTAAGAACTCTAGGGAAACAGGGTATGTAATTCCTCTCTTAAAGGAATCTGTTGCCAAATTTGCTAAGCAGAAAACTATACATTTACTCAATAACATTTGACAACCCATCAGCCAGGCCAGCAATAAGGGAATTTCCCAGGATGCTCCACCCTTGCTGCCTTCCAAACACTTCTCAGAGCTGGTCCCTCCTTTCCCTTCTGACTCTTGGGGCTCCGTGGTCTTCACCACCTCTTTCCATCACTAATGGGATAAGCTGGTCTGCCTGCTTCCACCCTGCCACTTTAGCATCACCATGTCCACGAGTGTCACCCTCCTCCTCACAGCCCCTCAGGGCTCCTTCTCTTCCCAAAGACCCTCCAAGACCACCATGCCTGACGGCCCCATCACTTGCTCTGTGAGAACGCTAAACTCACACGTTATGTTATGTGACCCTCCTTAGGTCATAAGGATTGATCTGGGACCCATATTTGGTCATCTTGGTGCAAACCAAGAGATAATATGTAGAAACCCATCCAACAACAGCAGGAACTGATATTTGAGAATTTAAACTCCTGCGGTGATAAGTTCAAAACAACTGTGTGCTACTATGACCCTCAGTGGTCAGTGCTTTAACACTAATCACCCTTAAAACCTGACATTCAAGGAAAAAACAAGCCAACCAGTAATACTAAGTGACTGCAGTGATACAACATTCATGATTAAAAAGTAATCCTAAAGGCCAGAGGAGGCTAAGTCCTTATTCCTAGGGTCATTTAATTTACCTTTTGGGAAAACTGCATTATATTAGATGCTCCACACTGGCTTTAGGTGACTAGAGAGTCACATGACAAAATCCAGGGTCTTGCTGTGCAAATTAATCTAAAGACTCTGAATAAATTGACATCTGCAAAAAGAATATTTCCACTCTGAAAATTAGAACTGGAAAGATTTAGTGCCAAGTATAATGTTCCATTTGGAATGATTTCAGAGACAATTAAAAATAGGGAAAAATCAGCTTATGAGCCATGCCAAATGAGACACTACACTTGGCACTAAATTTACCAAAATGGAACAGCCAGGCCAGTCAGGTGTGCCAATGCCCAAGTGGTCATGAAAACACTGTTCTGTGCATATATTAAAGTGATTCCTCAATGTTTTTACATATGGAAATGTTTTTAATTTATAATGTCTTTCATCTCAGGAACTCCATCTTCTATAATTTATTAGCCCATTAATCTCCTATTAAAATTACCTCATTTTAATTTGCATCCCCAAATGAACCATAAGAAAAAATGTAAGGACTAGACATTTATAGTTTTGTTTTTCAATTCTGGATATTATTCAACCATCATAGCCCTCAAGGAAGCTCGAATTGCTTAGGAGGGTAGAAACTATCTATGAGTTTTCCATTTAAACTAAACAGTTGAAAAGAATCCAATTTTTCTTTTCAGTAAGTAGAGAAAATAAACCTGAGAGAGAGCGAGCTATAGTGAGCTTATAAGCATATACTGAAGTTTTAACTCAAAAGTCTTCTCTCTTTCCACATAGAGGAGGGAAAAAGAGGTGGGACCAGCTGCAGCAAGCCACCTGTGTCATGAAAGACTATGGCATCCATTCGGCTATCTTCTCTGCTGTCCCCCAGAAACACTCTCGGTTAGAACTGAGAGGGGCTCGTCTAAGGGGTGGGCTCACAGCAGGCTCTTAGGAAGCACTCACTGATTTGAATGCTGGCTTTGATGTTCTCAGTAAGCAATCAGAAGTCTGAAGCAGAGGTCATCTATGATGACACTGTCTCTCCAACCTGATACTAGGAAACATTTCCTTCTGTTTATTTAAAAAATGTCAAGTTTACATCTCTATCAAAACAGTATTCTTAGTCAAATCATACTTATTATTCAACCTCCAGTCACTCAGATTAGATACTCTGGGCTGAAGTTTATATTCTATGAAAGAGAATAGGGATGAAGTTTCGGTAGAAATATTTAAATTACTCCAAAGACCTACTTCTCATTGAGAAAAGACTTCCTTTCACTCCATATCCTCACGTTTCCTTCCTCTGGGAAGAGCATCCTGACTTTGTCTTTAGAGAGCTACTCTCCCTCACTGGTTCAATCAAGGAAGGTGCCCACCCTTGCATTGGCCAAAGAAAAAGCCAGGCAGCCCTCTAATAGAAATCTTTTCCTCTCCTCCACTCCCCTCTCCTTCCCTCTATGTTGCCTAGGCTGGTCTCAAGCTCCTGGGCTCCAGTGATCCTCCTGCCTCAGCCTCCTGAATAGCTACCCTACAGGTTCATGGCCTCCTGTCTGGCTCCTGCATTAGGAATCTTGCACCAAGTGCTCCAAACACTGGCAGTGGAATCAGAAGAGATTCTGGCAGAAGCACTTGAGGAACAGTTTATTAGCTCCTGTTGCTATCCTCTGTCCCCTGCAGTGGCTGCCTGGTCCAAGTCTTTTAGACCAGCTCTTTAGCTGTTCCTCTAGATGAAAATTTCCTACAGCTTTCCACTATTTCCCTTCTTTCCTATGGACAAGTCACAGATGGATTCTGCTGCTCGAAACCACAGAATCTTGACTGAAGCGTAAACACTCCTGAAATCTTCATTAGTGAATAAGGTGACATGTCAACTCCAGGTCAGCCCAACCCACTCACAAGTAGATCTGTTAGACACCTGTCCTGAGCAGGACTGTTCATCTGTGCAGAAGACCACTTGAATTCTTTAAAATAATAAAGTTAAGCTGTTGGAAAAGTTCTCTCTTACTCTCACTGGCTTCCCTCTAGTCCCTTTTGGTATAGTTTTATTTGCAGGTGGAATTATAAATTAAGGAGAAGATTTTACTCCAATTAGAAAAGAGGTTTAAATAGAGATTACACTGAAAGAGAAAGAGCTGAGCTTTCAGTTACAAGCTCCAGGCGCAGACAAACTAGTAACCCACAGCAAAACCAGGGGTAAATGACTCAAATGTTTCCAGAGTTCTTTGTCCTCCTGTTTTAAAATAAAAAATTAAGAAGTAAGGCCAAGGGGATGAGGTTGTGGCTCAGTGGTAGAGCACTTGCCTAGCATGTGCGAGGCACTGGGTTTGATTCTCAGCACCACATATAAATAAATAAAGGTCCATCAACAACTAATAGAATATTAAAAAAAAAAAAAAAAGAAGTAAGGCCAAGGTGAAGAACAAAGAGCATGAGGCGCCACATGTGAGAAGACCTTGACCTGTGAAGGGGGGTCCAGCTGGAAGGCAGCAAGCACCTCTGCTTAGGGGCACCAACTCACCTTCTCCAGGGATGAGAGCCTTCTGAAGGGCTTCCTTCAAAGAGCTGTGGCCGTTTAAGAGTCTGTGGCTAGGAGAGATGGCCACGTGGGAAGTGCCATAAATGGCCTCAGGGGTGGCCGTGTACGCAGTCAGCTTTTCTCCTGTGTCTTGTCCATCAACCTGGCAAGATGAAATAGGTCTTAATTTCTCCTCCCTTCCTCAGGGCTGTGTGGCTCCTCAGTCACATCCCCTGGCCCTTCCCTCATTTGTAAACAGTGGTGACAGCTTCTGACCACAGGGCCAGGCATGTGGGGGAATGAGATGGTGCCTGGCAGGGGCTGAGAAGAGAGGGAGGAGAACTGCAGCTCCTCTGTCGGAGTTCCCACCCCCATTCCCCGTACCAGGCATGTTGGGGATCCCAAATTGAAGGCGATCTGGGCATGCTTAGAAAGGTACTTTCCTAGTTTTCTTGGCTCCTTTGTGCAACAAATAAAAAACATCACTGTCAGTGTTATATTGTTTCTGTCCTGGGAATGGAGCTTTATTTTCCTTAGGGACTTCAGGGGATATTAAAAATAAATAAATAAATAAAGGCATCTTTATTTTTCAAACCAGCAAAACAGATTATTATTAACTGAGGTTATTACTGTTTTGAAGAGAGAAAGAAAAGCCTGATCTGTGTACACAGTTGAATATCCCTAGCTGGTTAAAATGCCTTTCAAAGTGGCATTTTTAGGCACAAATTGAGTGTCCATTATGTACAAACTATGGAGGACACAGAAGACAGGTGGTACTTCATGCATTGACGGGGATTAGTGATGAACTAAAGATGGTCCAAAATATGGCTCGAGGACCAATGGGGGTCACCTACGGAGGCAGAAACACAGCCACAATGGCCTGCCCTGTAGGGCTGAGAATGTTTCCTCTCTAGAGATAGCAAGTGTCCCATCCTATTTTCAGGTGGGTCCAGAATGGAGATGGAATCATCTGCATAATTAAATGTTGGACAAGGGAAGGTGTGCAGAAGACAGCCCATGCTACAGCAGCCAAGGGGCTCTGAGATCCATGTCCTTCATCTTGGTTGAGAAGCAAAGACCCTTGACCTGGGAGCCAGACCCAGGCTAATGCACAGGAACCCAAAAGAGAAGGTTCTGCAAGTCTAAGCAAAAGTCATGCTGGACTGAATTTGACAACTATTGCTATTTTCTTGGGAAAGCAGTAAAAGGAAAAACTCAGCTCAGGATTTGCTACTGAAAGGTTTCCAAAGCTGTCGTTCCTTACAGGAAGCCTCCTGTGCTCCCCTGTATGTGTTTGAAGTGAGCTGGATCATTTTTGTGAGGGGACTGAATAGAGAACTATGAGTTCAGCAGTAAGCAGCAGGTACTCAGCAGATAGCACGTATGTTATCAGTGACTGGGGACATAGTTCAGTGGTAAAGCGCTTACCTGGCATGAGCAAGGGCCTGGGTTCCATCCTCAGTACCACCCCCCACCAAAAAAAAAGGTATGGTTGTCAGTGTAGAAGTGTCTAGAAAGCTGTGTCAACTTTGTCTCTTGGCTGCTGCTTCTTCCTCCCAAAGGTTTTGATAGAGACCAAGTTGTGACCTCTCAGCAATGTTTCCATAGGCTGCCTGTTTTGAACATAACCCTGAGCAGCTTGAGATCTGTCTAGGTTAGGAAGGAAGTTCCGATTAGTCATTCCCCTGCTTTTCAACCTGCTTTGTAACATGAACCCCTCTGAGAATACGAGTGCAACAGACCCACTGCTCAGGGAAATGCTCTTTAGGTTGAGTATCAACCTAAAGAGCTCATTTTGTTTAATGAGCATAATTTCAGGGGGCTCGTGGACTCCAAAAGACTATGTATCCTGTCCAGTGTGGCAGCAATGGCTTAAAATGTGGCAAATATGCACTGTATGCAGAGAATATGGTGGGTTCTGAAGACTGCACTAAAATATGAATTTAAAATATTTCTTTAATAAATTTCTTCCAATCCCATCTTGAAATGTTAGTATTTGGGGTAAAATGGGTTAAATACAATGTTATAAAAATTAATGTGACCTGTTTCTTTGTGCTTTTGAAAAATGTGGTTACTAGAAAATTTAAAAATTATGCATGTGGCTTGCAGTGTCTTTCTACTGGACAGTCCTGCTCAGAATTCCAAGTAGTTGGTTTACTCAATGAGCACCAAAATGCAGAAGGAGATTTGTGAGCATGAATTACTGGAGTTGTTATTGTTTGATCACCTTTAGTGCAAAGTCCAGATGGCAGCCCACACAGTCCCCAATCCAGTGGGCCTGCATGCCTTTTATCCCATACCATTCTGGAAGGTCTGCCAACGCGTCCTGCATGGCCTGTGGGAATGAAAAGAGGAGAGAGAAGTAAAAACACAGAACTTGTTTAAGAGAAAGCAAATGATCTGGGTTTTTTAAGGTAGGTCATAGAGGAGGTTCAGGATTTAGCTTCTTCTCGGTTGCTTGCTGTTGGAAGAGGCCAGCGAAGGTTAGAAAAAGATGTACCCATCTTGACTCAATTGCATGAGATGGGTTTGACCATTTTCTCCATTTGGAGGAAGCCAGAGTTTCATGGAAAAAGGAAAATTAACAAAGAAAGATCATAATTCATGTCTTTGACAAATGTGTTTAGGGTACTCTCGCCCATGGTCTGGAAGTAAAATAAGATCAGGATCTGAAGATTGGCTCCACCTCCTGCTCTATCTTTCCCTGCCATAAAAAATTTGGAGTTGGGGCTGGGGATATGGCTCAAGTAGTAGTGCACTCGCCTGGCATGTGTGTGAGGCACTGGGTTCAATCCTCAGCACCACATAAAAATAAAATAAAGATATTGTGTATTCCTAAAGCTAAGAAATAAATATTAAAAAAAAAAGAAAATTTGGAGTTGACTGGGTTCAGTTCTGACATCCTACCCTCTCCCTGCATTATTGAACCACTTCTATAGAAACCCTCACTGTGTTTTTTCTTCTTGATTGAATTGTTGAGGCTGGGAAACTTCTGGTGGAGGTGCTTTGCTTAAAATATTCAGATCTGGATGAGCACAAAAGATTCAAATAGAATGAAATATGAATGTTTTCATATGCTAATTCTGGAAAGATGCCTGCTTAAAACTAACAAACCTATGAATATTTTTAAAAACCAAAAGAAATCTTCAGAATTGGCCAAATGAAACCAACATCTTGAACCCCCCAGCAAGTTCTTTTTATCCCACTTGCCTAATAAACACATTATTCATGGCTGCTTTTTGATGAAACAGGGCTTTAGGCAGCACCTTGCCCACCGGCTCCCAACTAGCTCTCCTTCATCCCAGGGCTGGCCTAGCCTGGGCTCCACCAGAATAGGAATGATGCAGATAGTTACTGAGGATTTGTAATGCTCAACCTAAAGAGCTTGTTTTGTTTAATAATGATTTTTTGGATGTTGCAATTATAGTGACAGTGGTTGGTACTAGTCTCATTTCATGTCCTTACACTTGGCAAACAGTTAGCAATGTCCCTCCTCCCCATCCTGGCCAACCCCAACTTAAAGAAATCCTACTGGCTCACAGAATCCAAATACCTGGGGGAAACAGCAGGTTTATAGACTCGTTTTTAAAAAGTGCTACGAAATCCCTGTTCAATAAAATCTGAGAAACCCGATGTGTCAGAGTTGAAAAAAGCAGCATCTCTCTCTCTCTTTAATTTCCCCCATTGATTCCCAGGGCTTGGGCACAATCTGGAAACCATTACCTCATTGAACTTCCCTCTTTTAATCAATGAAAACCATGGGGTTCTAAGAGGTCATCTGACTCAACCGACAAGCAGCAGATCAAACATGACAAATAATCCAGATGTTCTTATTATTCTGAGACTACTGTACTCAGTTTTCAGGAGTCTCTATTTATATAAATTAAACAAAAGACAACTTCTTCCAGATGCAAAAGTGGGAATACTATTTTAAGAATTAAATGTAGTATATGAATTACTATATTTAAAACTTATCTGCAAGAACATGTGAAATATTACATGAAATATTACTCAGCCATAAAGAAGAACGAAATTATGGCGTTTGCCAGTAAGTGGATGAAACTGGAGACTATCATGCTAAATGAAATAAGCCAATCCCCCCAAACCAATGGATGAATGTTCTCTCTGATATATGGATGCTAACTCAAAATAAGGGTGGAGGGAGGAAAGAGTAGAAGTTCACTGGATTAGACAAAGGGGACTGAAGGGAAGGGAGAGAGGGATGGAAATAGGAAAGACAGTAGAATGAATCAGACATAACTTTCCTGCGTTCATATATGAATACATGACCAGTGTAACTCCACATCATGTACAACCACAAGAATGGGAAGTTATACTCCATGTATGTACAATATGTCAAAACATACTCTACTGTCACGTATGACTAAAAAGACCAAATAAAACATTTAAAAAAACTTAATCTGAAGCAACACTGGGGAGTTTCCCTTATTTAACACACATAGAAGTATTTTGGGTTTGCAAAGAGACTGTGTAGACATTTTCACTAGGATGATCTGAAAAGACAGGTGCTGCTGGTTGCTAGGTGCACACCTGAATGAGGTGGGTGGTACTGGTCTCGATTCATGTCTTCACACTTGGCAAACAGTTGGCAGTGTCCCTCCTCCCCATCCTGGCCAACTCCAACTTATAGAAATCCTACTGGCTTACTGAGTCTGAGAATGAGCCAGCATTTAAGAACATGAATCAGTGAGACAGGCTGAAGCAACATCCAGTCAAACAGTCTGAGTAACAAAATATAATCAGAACTAAGAAAGAGAAACTCTAAAACTAAAAAGCTGGGGATAAAAAGAGGATTGAATATAACATGGCTATTCTGGCTCTCTCTTCAAAGAAGGGAAAGTAAAGTTACGGATAAATCCATACTTCCCCAAAGAGGAAGTACATGAACTGAGGAATTGACCAAGATGCAACCTGACTACGGTAAGAATTCTAGAAGTGGTTTTAAAAAATGATCAACTTTTAGGAGACCTGTGAAAATAGAGAAGAACAAATCTTTTTAAAACAAGAAGCTGTATTAGCTACTAAGGGAACAACTGAGAAACAAGAACCCCGAGAGCTGACACAGTTTGAGACACAATGGAAATGAGAAGGTCTGATGTCAACTTGCAGCTAAAATGGATGTTTTGAAAAAGCTTGCATACTTCTGAATCAGTATGATTTGATTAGCAATTCCTTTTGAATTATACTTTGTATGTCTTTTTCTAAAACATACTCTTGTTGCCAGTAATTCTTTATTCTCCTTTTGGAATCATTTCCATCCAATCACTTTAAAGACACTATGTGTGCTTCAGGTCTAAGTAAGGAAAACCAATTGTGAAGGCAATAAGGAGCTGGAACATCCAGATAGCCCCTTGGGAATATATTCTAGAGGAATAAACTTTCACTCATAACTAGTCTTTCTCTCCTGCTTTGATTTTGGCATGAAATTATGCATGAGGATTTATTTGTTATAAAAAACTCATTTGGAAGCCAGCCACCACACCTATAATCCCAGTGACTCAGGAGGCTGAGGCAGGAGGATCGAAAATTTGAAGCCAGTCTCGGCAACTTAGTGAGATCCTGTCTCAAAATAAAAAAAAAGGGCTGGGGAATGACTCAGTCATAGAGGGCCCTTGGGTTCAATACCTAGTAACAAAACAAAACAAAACAAAAAAACTGCATTTGGCATGATGTCTACCGTGTTTAAATTTAGGAAAGGCACAACAAGTAAATATAAAAAATACCCTTCCTATGACACTCTCCTTTAACCTCTATCTAAAATAGGATATGCATTTTTTAGCAATATCCACTTATTGTGGCATCTCAACACAAAACAGTTATTCAAACAACTATACTATTGTATTGAGTTATATGCTAAAAGTTTCAATTCCAGTAAAGGTGCTGTTTATCAAGCATGGAAAGAATCAGTTCTGAGCAACGTATTTTGCGGCTAATATATGACTTGCCAGCCAGGTGTGGATCCAGGGGACTGCAGGGGCAAGAGGAAAGGAGGGACCAACCAGTTCCTCACCAACAAGTGCATGTCTCAGAGCTATGTGAATGGGAGGGACAGACCAAGTGCTTCCAAGGCAGGGGGTATAGCTCAGTGGTAGAGCACTCTTTGTCTAGCATGCCTGGGGGCCTGGGTTCAATCCTAAACACACACACACACACACACACACACACACACACACACACACACACACAAGCTTCCAATAAAGAGAACTGAACACACGTAACAATGTAACAGGGATGCTGTAAAGAAGGACCACCCTTGCTGAGGATGATTATCAGGGGCCATAATGTGAGCCCCATGTGTGTTCTGTGGGAGAGGAAGAAATAAAGAGACCCAGGAAGCCATGGGAGCAGCCAATTGGTCCATCTTCTCTTATCCACGCACCCATGCATTAACTCAGGCCAACTTGCCAGTCTTTCTTTTCTTTCTGCCACTGACTCTGGTCACCCCATCTTTTCAGCAACAGAACCTTTTAAATTCCACTAACTTCCAGGACGTGGTGACTACAGGTTCTGACTGTCACCACCACACTCTTAGAATGTGGATGACAGAGGCTGAACTGCCATAACAACACAGCCACCTATCTGTCCAGTGAGATGACGTTTTTTTTCCCCTACGTGTGTGCTTGTGTACACATTTTTAACAGTGAAGATCATGTTAAAATGCTCTTAAAACTGCTAGAGTGCACTTTACCCAAGTTCTCAGCTTATTACAGCTCCAAAAAGGAATAATTCTGTATTTTAAGCATTTTTGATACTTAAAAGTCAGCCATCCTGAAATAGTATGCAAAATATAGAGTGGAACAGAATGATACCGTGGAGAATTGTTCCTTTCTATGACACTTATTTTGGAAAAAAAAAAAGTGTGGCTATGGGTATGTCTGTTAATGACTATTCGCTTCTGATGAGGGAGCAGCAGCCACTGGATGAGTAGCTCTGTTCTCCAAGCAGCTGGGCCCAGAAGGCCCTGGGGTCAGGACAGGGCGCTCAACAGAGAATGATGTAGCAAAGCATGACACAGCTCTAGCTCTGAGAGGCCAATAAGAACAAACCAGAAAACCTCTCATCACTGTACTTGCCATTACCTGGCCACTGGAACAGGCCACTGGTGCCCTCTCCCAGGCCTGCTGTGTTGCCTAAGTTGCTAATGACCACCCTCCCACAATGCACCGGCTACTGTCTGCACACGTTCTCAAAAATGCTTGTTTGCTGAGAAGCCAGTCCTCAGGAGCAGGTGGGAAGGATGCAGAACTGGGACTGAGGAGACCCAGCTGGGTCCTGGCTCTGTCTTGGGCATGGATGCCTCAATTATATGATGAG